ATAAATAGATAATTTTAAATGGTTGCATAAAAATAAATAGTTTAATATTAGCACATCCCAAAGGATGGTCTTGAGTACCCCTCTTTGGAGACGCCCCCTATAATCCATATGCCCGGCTGCAGATAGAACCAAACCTCTCCTGAGGTAACAGAAGAGGGCCTCTGTCCCTCTGTCCTCCTAAAGTTTGCCTGCAAAGGTCACCTCAAATTTGACTAACTTTTCTAACTAACTCCCCTGATAGGGGTCTCCTCACCTGGTCCCTTGTTCTCTTTGCCAGGAGGATACCCACAGCTCTGTCCACAGTCAACACAGGGGCTGGGCTGGCAAAGAGCACCTGGTCTGGGGGACAGAATCAGCCCAGGCAATGTGGGTCTGTTGGGCCCCCTCCATCTCCATGGACCATTCCCGGAGGATACAGTGCAAAGAAGGGGCTCTTTCACTTTGCCCCAGGGACACATCTTCCTGGGACACACTCTCCTCCAGGCTGTCAGCCTTCTATGCAGGGCAGTTCCCTGTGCCTGGGTTGTTCATTATTTAGATTTCATCGCACTCAACTTCTGGGCAGGCTGTGACTCACAGAAGCAATCAGGAGCATGCACCTTGGCCAGTGTAGCAATTTGTATACTTCTCCTGGGGAAGTGAGCAGCAGAGGCCAGTGCTGGGGGCTGGGAGTGCCCCCAAGGCCAGCTAAAGCATAGTCGCTGCCCTGCCTCCAGGTACCTGGTGAGCACTTGCCCACCAGGCTGCTGGCTGCTCATGCCAGACCCTGGCCTCAGGATATTTTTCGCACCCACCAAAATCAGACTGGGGCCCAGAGCCCAGAAAAATACAGCTGTATCCCTCAAAGAAACTGGGCTGTAGGCACAAAAGGAACCTATGAGGTTGGATGAGATGTGGACAGAGTGGGGTGAGGATCTGTGCAGATGGGGGAGGGTGCACTCAGCGTTCAGAGCCCAATGCTTTGGAAGTGTGGTCTGAATGAGGCTAGGCTTGTCAGTGTCCTGGTTAATTAGGGTCAGGGATCCCAAGACCAACACAAAGGCCACATGGTCACTGCCCACCCCAAGGCCACAATCTGTGGTCCAAGCCCATTTGGTAAAGGTTTGTCCTAGGTCACAAAGGCCACTCATTAGGTGAGAGAGTGGATGGCTCAGCCCCTAGCCTTCCCCACAATTCAAAAGAACTGCCAGGAGGACCATTCCAGGCACAACAGTGAGCTGGGGCTTCTCTGTCCCTGACTCCTCCCCCTTGGCAGTGCCTGCTGAGCCTCTCTCCACCCTCCAGTTTGCCCAGTAGCTACAAGGCTATAAGCTTTACACTCTCTCCTTCCAAACCCAACTCTCAGTTCAAGGTCTGATGAACCATCTACTGGGAAAATTTCAAGGGAGACCCCCTTCCCTGAAAATTTGCATTTTAACAGTGGACAAAACCTTAAGCCCAAATCTCTAACCGTGTGTTTTGAGCACTGACTAAATAGTGTCGGGGGATGGAGTGAATACTTGGGGAACACACAGAGATCTTCCCAAGCGTCAACGATAATATTGCTACGTGTCAGTTTGAGCAGGCTGGCAGGCTTCTGTTGTTAAATCAATCTAACAGAGCCACTGTTTCACTGAGGGTGTGGAATTCACCCTCTAAATGTACTGCCTGTTTTATTTTAATTTGCGCCAATTCAAGACTATAACAGGATACTTTTTCAGGGTCCCCTTATATGGAACCCTGGTGGAACAGTGGTTAAGAACTACGATGAGCTATGGTTGCTAACCAAAATGTCTGCAGTTTGAATCCACCAGCTGCTCCTTGGAAACCCTACGGGGTAGTTCAACCCTGTACTATAGGGTCTCTTTGTAGTCGGAAACCACTGGAAGGCAACGAGTTTGGGTTTTCTTTTTTTTTTTTGGTATTTAGGGTCACTCTGAGTTGGAACTCCCTCAATGGGCAACGGGTTTTTTATACATGGTGGTGGCGGGCATCTCTGCAGGGCGCCCCCTCTAATCTCCTGAAGGCACCAGTTCTCCAGAGTGGCCACATGGTGGCGTGCGGGGTCCAAAGAAGTTACTTCCCGAGGCCTGGCCACCTCCGCTGCACTAACCCAGGCTGGTCTTTCTCCCCTGAGGAATCCACTGACAGAATAGGCTACTCTGCACTCCTCAGAGATCCAGGATCGGGAGACCAGGCCAACCTAAAACCCATGAAACTTGGGTGTCAAATGAGATTTCAAAAATAAACCAATACTGAAATGCCGGTCAGGGTGGGGTTGGGGTGGGGATAATGGAGGGAGGCGAAAGTGGGGGAGGGGACTCCGGCAAAACCTGGGGCGTCGGTGTGTGGTGGTTAGAAGGGATATGGTTGTGAGACCCTGGGAGAACTTACTTTGAAATCGATCCCCTCCCGAAGAAAAGGAGAAAAGGGTTTTCTTAATCCCTCTGGGCCAGTTTAGGTGCAGCCCTGCCCAGAGGCAGAATGACCTGAAGGAGTGAATTGGATAAACCTCTAAATCCTGCGGTTGCCACCCTTTTTATCCACAGCCCAGAGATCCGGAGCAAAGTGACCAGGGGTCAGGATAAAAGAAGAGGGAAGAGGTGGCAACAGGGTAGCCCTTGCTCCTGCCTCAGAGGAGCTGGGCCTTTAAGACCCTACCCAGGCGGGCCGGGAACAAAGGCCCGGAATCTGTGCTGAACCGGCGAGCAGAGCCACCCAGCATGAGTCATTCACGTTTCACACGGACTCAGAATCGCTGGCTCACGCCCGCCCCTCCCCCATTCCGGGGCCCAGCCCCCTTCCAGGGCTGACCGGGAGCTCTGGAGGCTGCATGGTCGTCTGCTGCAGCCTGCAGGGATTTTTCTGCCAGAGCTTCCACCAGGGTGAGTTAGGGGCCTCCCCCTACCTCAAACCCCGCAGGCCCAATCCCTCTACCGACTTGCTCCTGGCCCTTTTCATCTTGTCCCTCTCAGAGGGCTGGCGTGCCAGGACTCCTGGTTTCTGGGTCAGCTCTGCCTCTGGGCTTGGGACTTTGGACCTCAGTTTCCACATCTATAAAACAGGAGAAAATTCCATCT